GCAGTGGCGGCTACCGCGGCGCCGTCGTCGTCACTTTCGTCGCGGTAACCCCTCCATCTTCGAGTTGCCAATCCTTCGCCGCATCGTTCACGCTTTTGCTTGCTTTTCCAACTTGCATTGTCGATTTTTTTGACGAATGCATTTTAGTTTTCTCTCGAATTTTCTTACTATGATTGTTACGTATTTACTTGTACCGATAAATTTCGTTCGTGAAATCGCGTCGTGTCGACTCTGCGAAACTCTTCCGTTAACTTCTATGAATCGATATGTGCGTATGATACTTTTCTTTGATTCGTGCTCTTTTATGTTACGCGAAGTAAAAGGTATTTGCATGAAACGAATAAAAGCAGAACGTATTACTATTACAACGGATATGTTTCGATGCTGAAAAAAGGCGAATCATGACAATTAAAATTGCTGCGTCGACGATGATGTTCGATGAATGCATACGTGCCTCTACGTATGGATGTATATGTATACCTTTAATGTAGAAAAACGTGTCCGCGCACGTGCGTCGGAAAATCAGAGTTCTCCGAGCGAAAGACGGAGAAAGAAATGACACGGCGCGTGATCAATATAGGGGATGCTAACTCCGTAATTGCCTGTATAGTTCTCCGGGTTAACTTCTTTCTGCTTCCATCTTACGTAATTAATATCAACTTTCACTCGGATAATTTCGATTTATATATTATAAAGAACGTAACAAGAATTTCTATATTAATCGAATCTTTTACATGTTCAAGATTCCATTGAATCTACTCTTGATGCTCGCGTACTGCTGGAACTTGTTCAAGTTACATCGTATCTGAACGATTTAATTAGTTGCTCGATTAAGATTGTACGAATGACAAGTTTCAAAAATTATTCTTCATCGATGTTTTAAACTCCTGAATATTGCAAACTGGATATCAGACTTTAATTATCATCGCGGTTCGAGATGGCGCTGTTATATCATTTCCGATTTACAGATCGTAACATGACAATGAAAGCTTCGTCGATGTCAGGTTTTAGACTTTGCTCTCGTATTTTAAATATGTATTTAGTGATGAATTCAAATTTCCGATTTCGTTAGAAGATAACAAATACAAAACATATTTTGTAGTCAACAAATTTAGTATTCCGTCGACTGTGATCAATTGCTGAACATTGTATAAAGTGCTGCGTGTCATACAACACGATTGATAACGATTTTCTCGATAATGCTTGACTCATTGTTTTTGACATCGGATCTGGAATGATAAGTTCGTATTTATTGAGCACAAATGTTTTATCTTCTACTATTAACGCTATGAAATCTTGAAAAACGCAGATCTTTACGCTCGCATAAGTCAAATTATAATATGTTAAATGTACCAAGTGTTATTGTGACTAACGGATACCAAATATAATTTAGTGCCAGTAGTTTAATATAAAATGATTGGGTTTATTAATTTCGTTATTTTATCCTTAATCTCTGTCGTGTTGTGCGATGTTGCTTACTATCAACCAGAAGCTGTACATCTTTCCTATGGAGGTAACGTGTACTTTACTTTATGCGTATGTAGTCATTGTCAAATGTATAGTATAAAACAGTTTTTAAAGAAACAATTTAATATATTCTTTTAGATAATATTCATGATATCATTGTGACTTGGAGCACCAGAAACGATACGAAAGAATCAATAGTAAAATATGGAATAGGAGGATTAATTCTGACGGCGGCAGGAAATTCCACTCTCTTTATTGATGGTGGAAATGAAAAACAAAGGCAGTATATCCATAGAGTATGGTTGAAAGATTTAACGCCCAATAGCAAATACTGTAAGTATAAGTATTTCTGTTTCCTTGCTTTGTACAGGAACTATTTGCTAAATCCATTATTTAAATTATTTCAACAGTTTATCATTGTGGTAGTAAATATGGATGGTCGAATGTGTTCTATGTAAAAACTGCTCCTGAACTATGGGCGCAATGGTCTCCACAAATTGTTATATTTGGTGACATGGGTAATGAGAATGCTCAGAGCTTATCGAGATTACAGGAAGAATCGCAACGTGGATTGTATGATGCTGCAATTCATGTAGGAGATTTTGCGTATGATATGAACACTGACAACGCGCGTGTTGGCGATGAATTCATGAAACAAATAGAAGGTGTTGCTGCATATTTACCTTATATGACGGTACCTGGTAATCACGAAGAAAAATATAATTTTAGTAATTACAGGTTAGATCGGCTGCTAACTGCGAACAACGTTAATTGATTTATTTATAATTTTAACTGTATGAACGTCATTCTTTTAGATCTCGTTTTACAATGCCTGGAAATAGCGAAGGTTTATGGTACAGTTTTAACGTAGGACCTGTTCACTTTGTAGCCATAGAAACAGAAGCTTACTATTTTATGAATTATGGTATAAAGCAACTGGTGAAGCAATATCTGTGGCTAGAAAAGGATTTAATGAAAGCGAACGAGCCTAACAATAGGTAAATTACTCTCTTTTCTATTATGTTTCGATAAAAGTTGACAATTATATGTACAACAGGCTGCATCAACCATGGATAGTAGTATTTGGTCACAGACCGATGTACTGTAGCAATGCGAATGCAGATGATTGCACCAATCATGAGAGTCTTGTTAGAGTTGGATTGCCGTTTCTAAACTGGTTCGGTCTCGAAGACCTCTTTTTCAAGTATAAAGTAGATTTATTATTATGGGCTCATGAACATAGTTACGAACGTATGTGGCCCATGTACAATTTTAAGGTAATGCAGAGAATATGCTTTTCTCTAAAAGCTTTCTTTTAAATAAACTTAGCCAATAATGACAAAAATAAGAAGGAATAATTACAGGTACTAAATGGTAGTTACGAGGAACCATATAAGAATTACAAGGCACCTGTAAATATAGTAACTGGATCAGCAGGATGTAAGGAAGGAAGAGAGAAGTTTGTTCCGCATAAACCGGAATGGTCTGCGTACCGTAGTTCGGATTATGGATACACAAGAATGAAAGCGTACAATTGGACTCATCTTTATCTTGAACAGGTACTAAATACTTTGGAAGAAACGGGAATGTTCATTATTATTTACTTTACAATATTTTTCATACTAGGTATCCGATGACAAGGATGGTGCTGTTTTAGATCAAGTTTGGCTCGTGAAGGATGATATTTTACCAGCGTACAATTTAGATTATCTTACAAACAAAATATAGAGTACAATTTAGGAAATATTAATTGAAACTACAACGTATGAGATAGATATCTTCTATCGTTTTCTTTTCGATAATGCACCGTATTCTTTTATGGTAAATAACAAAAGGGACATCTATAAATTTCAAGCACTTTACATTTAGAAATTCCCCTTATTCCTTCTTGCATAGAAACGAATGAACTACACAAATTTACTAATTACAAATGAGATGGAAATTATTAATAATGCATGCGTACAATATAATCCTTTAATTGTTAAAATATAAATATATGTATATATAATTATCGTAGCATATAATATTAATAATATAATATTAGGGTAGCATTTCATATTTCCATCTGATTCTCACAGTAAATCATAATTTGTCAATGATACACGATGAACAATATGATCCACACTAAGGGAAAAGAAAATTTCCTAATTCAATAGCGCTAGTATAACAAAGAAACGCATTCTTTTGATGCTAAAAATCGATTTTAAATTTACACGATAATTCACTTAAAGCTGTTAATGTTTCTATGCTTCTACTTTTAAAATGGATAAACCATTTGTCCATTGACTGGCTCCTTGCCAAGTATAATTTGCTATTTTGGTTTCTGCTATAACAGTTGACTAATGAATTTTAAAGAAATAACCAGGAACTGCCCTTCTATAAATTATCAACCGAGTTGAAAACGAAGCCAGGAAGTTTTAAATACCACTTTTTTTTCTTTTTCCTTTTTTTTTGTTCTTTTTTCTTTTTTTTTTTGTTCTTTTTTCCTTTTTTTTTTTGTTAAACTTAGAACTGTAATTATAATTATCAAATACCGGTTTTTTTCGCAAAATAAAGATGCCACTCTGTATAATGTAACACAGTTGAGGGGATAAACTTAACATCCGTTTTTCCTATTTTGTTTTCTTCGCTCTTCTTTTTTGAACAAAAATTCGATCCCCATTATATCGTCGTGAACCTACTCAGCAGGTATAAATAGTTCAATTGAATTTTATAGTACATAATTTGCTCGTGTACGATTTTAATGAATACGCGTATACACGCACGTGTAAGAACGGATCTGCCATCGGAGATATGTGTTAAAATCTTTTGAAGATGCCCAAAAAAGCATCATAAACTGGCGAAAACTGATATTTTGATCTATCTGTTAAAAAAGAAAAAAAAATTATAAAAAAAAAAATTTGAAAGTTCTCCCAAACTGTTGAGACAAATCACTTCTTGCGATCGAGTGTCTTTGACTTTACCATGCATTTGTCATGCTTTTCAATACGCAAATAAAGGAAACGTTTGGTACTGTCAGTGATTAATAGAAACAATGGAAGAAGTCGCCGCTGAGTGGCTTTCTTGATACGAAAATTGGGGAAAATGTTCTTGTTCTTCGGCTATTGAATTTAAGCCACCTCCACTGCCTAAGAAGCCCTGATCAGGCGGCGTAAGTTCAACACTTTCACCCGTAAATTCGCTATCAAAATATCTGGTATCCGTGTCAGAAGTAACTTGAGGTTTGAAAGGGGGAGGAATTTTTTTCTGTACAAGATCGTACCAATCGATCGACGAAAAGAATGCATGATCCATGATTTCTTTTGCGTCATTAGGTCCGCCACCTAATCTTTTACTTGGGTCTTTTATGAGCAATCCTGAGAACAAAAATAAAAGATATAGATTTATCGTTCGCCTTAAAATAATAAAAGTAAAAGTATTCTATCTGCTTACCGCCAAGCATATCTTTCGCTTCGTTACTGATCGTTCTAGGGAATCTTACTTCTTCCATTATGATAAGCGTGAAAAGTTTCTCGTGATCCTTATTATAAAAAGGTAATCGACCACAGATCATTTCGTACATAACGACACCAACACCCCACCAGTCTACTGCTCGTCCATAGTCAATGTCCTCGAGCACTTCTGGCGCAAGGTATTCAGGAGTTCCACAAAATGTTTTCGTCGTCCTTCCTGAAATTTCGTTATCGATATTTTTCAATATTCTCAAATTCATATACAGTTCTACTTCAATTTACACTTCCTACTTACCATACGTTATATCTTCTTTACATAATCCAAAATCAGCTATTTTAATGTGTCCATCCTTATCTAAGAGAAGATTTTCTAATTTGAGATCACGATAAATTATACCCTGCGAATGAAGGTAGCCTAAAGCTGAAATTATTTCAGCGCCATAAAATCGTGTACGATCTTCGCCGAACACACGAGAACGTCTTAAGTGAAAGAATAATTCTCCGCCGTTTACGTATTCCATTACAAAACACAGCCTATCTGCCGTTTGAAAACTATACTTCAAAGACTGTAAATCAATGAACATTAAGCGTAAATTAGTAATGAAATTACTCGTGAAAGGAAAAGAGAGAATAACTTAAATATTTACAATTAGGAACGGATGATTAGTAGTACGCAATACTCTATTCTCGGTAAGCGTGTGTGCAACTTCGTCTTTACGAATTATGACTTCTTTCCTTAATATTTTTATAGCGTATAAGTGGCCCGTCGCTTTCTCCCTGCAAAGTATCACCTTTCCGAATGTACCTTTCCCCAGAACTTTTAAAAATTCGAAATTTTCAAGGGTCTGAAACAAAGGTCCATTCATATATTATACAGAGTCGATTATTTTGTTTCTGGAAATGGAGTAATGGGCGAAACTGATGTACATACTACTTTTTTTTTTCCTGTACTTTTACTGCTAGAGGTTCCTTGAACGCTAAATTTTGCAGACAATTCATCGATGCTGCCACCGTCCGCGTCCGACGACACTACTCCGACAGATCCGCACGAATCTGACCAACCACCTCCTGAGGACTCCATATCAACATCCTCTGATGAAGATGAATGTTGCATTTGGGATTGTTGTGTTTGTTTTTCCATTGCCAGTCTAGCAGCTACGTAACTGTTTAAAAAACGAAAAAAGGAAGAAAGACACTACTTAAGAGATTTGTATAGTTAAACTTTGCGTAGTTGAGACATATACGATCAAAGAAATTCGAACCTAATAGCCGCGACCCAATCTTTTCTCTCTTCTTCTGTATCTACGCGAAATGTTCTTTCTATTGCAGGTGGCCATTGTAAACCTCTTAGAACAAAAGTGTTAGACTTATGTGTATCCATAGTCATAATCTGACATCCGCGAACTGTGAAATTATTTAACGGCTGTGCAGCAGCTGCCAGTTGTTGATCCGGTTTCGCTTTAAAGCCAACCAGTGTGCCATCATCCATTAAAACAAAGTACCTTGATCTCCAGTTTTTTATATGTTCTCCTGTACACAAGAAGGAAAATTTCAATAATTAATTATCTTTACGTATATTTAAATGATCGTGTTCAATTGCGTTTAGATAAACTATCGATATCTAGCAAAAACGAAATGCAGAATGTAAGAAAGGAGGATTTAATTTTTAAAAATAATTTCTAATATCTTTGCGAAGGACATCATCGACGAATGTAATTTTGACGTTTCGTTGAACGTGGTATCCTCGTAATTTAAAACGGCATGCAAGAAAGTAAAAGAAAATGTCTCGATTTCGAATCGAAGCTCGAGATAAAATAGAAAGGTAAATACAAATATTATGAAAGTGTTCTGCAGTACCGCGTTTTTGCAGCCAGCCTTCTTTAACGACACGCTGACCGCCGCCACCGGACGCTGCGACGTTCATCGCTGCGTCCTCCATAACTTCTCTTTTAATGCGCACTTATACAAACAATTCAGATACTTCGTATTTCCGCCCGAGCTCAATATTCCACAAAAATTGGAGAAATACAACAGCAAGGATGGCACGAGTATACAAACTTGAGCAATCATAGATACACGTTTGGCAGGTAAACTCAACTATACTCCGTGATCGGCGGACGCACTAATGCGCACTAACTAGCATTGCCTCCTCGCATTCCGGAGATGGCGCATCAATCGATTACGAATAAAGAAGTATTCTCATGAACAATACTTGCCTAATTTCAATCGACATTCGATCACCGATGCAAGTATTGCTATCCATGTCACCCATCTGCTATTTTATGTATCCCTCTATGATAAGCATGCGCAAAATCTTTTGTTTATTATGGTTTATTATACACATATAAATGCATATATACGTACATAAACGCGACATACATATTTAAATAAAATATAAACATTATTCTTTCTAAATACTTTTAAATATTTGATTGTGCACGTCGCGCTATACGATTGCGTCTGTAATTACGGGATAATTGGAGCTGATCAGTGTCTTTGATTTTTCATACTTACGTACTTGAATGACTAGTTTCGATTATTTTGCCTGAAATTGTTAACGAAACGTGTAGTTTTAACTGATTTAAATTATAATCTGAAATCATCATTATGTTTTATATAACTTTGTAGTCAAATATCTATTTTACACGATAGTATATTGTCTACATTTATGAGCATCTGTAATGGAACTATAAAATATGTATCGCAATTGTAAACATTCCATGTATAACTTTTTTTATCGTACGTTTAATAAAGATTAAGTCAAAAGTAAATTGATAAATAAATATTCCATACACTTTATTAAATTTATCTACCTCCCACTCCCTGGTGTCAATTGTCATTTCTGTCATTGGGTTACTGGTTCTTGTTTTAGAGAAATCGCGTTTCGCTGAAAATCGGGTTCTTATCTTTTCAATAGATATCGTGTAATGTAAAAATTACATAAAAGGACTCGATAATTTGGAAAGATGATGTATTTGCGATGTGTTGAGGGCATGTTAAAAGTAAAAATATCAAAACATAAGATCCACTGACTCGTTAAGGTTAAAATTATGTATGATCGATATTTATTAGTACAAAGATAGTAGAATTTTGTATTAAAATATAATTAGGATGGGTCCTCCTCCGGTGGTAACGGGTATATCTCCTAAAGAAGGACCTCCTGGAACTCGTGTAATAGTTCGCGGTGAATTTTTGGGTAACAAAGCACAGGATCTTATAGGTTAATTTCACTTGTCAAAAGTTTTAAAAGATATATCATTATGAATATATTTCATTATTTGCGCTTTATTTTTGCACAATTTAGGATTAACAATATGTGGCTGCGACTGCCTTTTATCAGCAGAATGGAAATCCTCCAATAAAATTATCGCTAGGTCAGGTCCCTGCAAAGGTCGTGGAGATATTATAGTAACTACCCGTAGTGGAGGACAAGGAACATCGACGGTACAATTTCGTGGATATCATGAAACTATTGGCCCTATGAAAGAATCCGCTGTTTGGGTCGAAGAGGCTCCTATGCAAAGTTTTGTGTGGGGAAGAAGAACCCTTTCTCCGACTAATTATCAACAAGAAGATCCTTTAGGTTTAAGCGTAGAAGGCAACGAGTATGTTTATTCTGTGTCTTTTCTATCGGAGCTTTGATGTAGATACTCTCATGTATTGTTTTATAGTAAAAAGTTTCCCGAGGATGAATTAATAGAACTGTTTGGAGAGGGTAGCGGAGATCTTACCAATGATAAATTTCATCCTGGATGGTTTTTACTGCAACATCATCATGCGACAACTTTCGAAGACTTGAAAGCTGGCTTGGCGTATCTTAAAAGAAAAGTGAATTCTCAAAAAGAAGGTCAACTATCATTTTTAAAGGTAATTAGCTAAATAGTAAGTAATATTTAATTACTATAACCTTGTTCAACTTTTTAAATAACGCTTTAGGCTAATGTAGGATCGGTGGTAGAACAATTTGACACGATAATGCTGTTAAAAGAGCAGTTTGAAAATGATATAAGAACATACGGCAATGATCCTACTGAAAAATTAGAAAAATGTATTCAGAAATCCATGTCAGAGGCTAATAAATTATTTGACGACGTACTAGCGAGAAGAGATAGAGCAGACGCGACCAGAAATGCTCTGGCTGTAATGCAACGATACAAGTTCCTTTTTTGTATGCCGGTTAACATAGAGAAGAATATAAAACGTGGCAATTATGATCTTGTAATTAATGATTATGCGAGAGTAAAAAATTTGTTTAAAAACACGGAGGTTGATGTTTTCAAACAAGTATTGCAAGAAATTGATAATAAAATAGATATGCTTAAAGTGCACCTAAGGAAAAAACTTGAAGAAATGCCTTTCAGTTTGGAAGAGCATAAAAAGATAGTCAGAAATCTTGTTAATTTAGAAGCAGAGGGAGATCCAGCTTGGGATGCGATAGGTATTTGCCCGTAACAACGATTAGAATATTAGTTAACTTATAATGCTAATAAAGTTACCATTTTCCAGTTTCACACTCAAATTATTTGAAGAAAAGTATTACCGTTTGCATGCAAGAACATTTGGAAACGGACAATTTAAACGGAGAGGAATTAAATAAAATGAAACCAGCACAGAATAATAAACATTTAAAGTCGAACAAAAATGATGGAACCAATGCTCCAGCACAAATATCGTGTGTGGAAGCAATTTGTGACATTATAGTTGAACAACTGCCAGATTTATGGAGATTAGGTCAAAGTTATTTTACGGGCCAATTACATGTTGCGGTGGATGCAGAGAAACAGACTCCTTTCAAGGTATGGTCGAAATAAATTCAATCGTAAATTCAAAATATGCAAACTCTTTCATTTACGACAAGTCATTCTAATGTAGAATTTAGTGCTGTCAAGCATGCAACACGCCATGGAAGCCATGAGAAGTACATGTAGCAATGATTTAGATGCCTTATGGCTTTTACATATCTTACGCAGGATTAGGCAAATGTACGCTTCGTTGATTCATTTGGATTTGCCGAACGAGGCATTGGATATTTTTGGAAAATTTATACTCGATTTAAGGTATAAAATACGCTACTCAAGTATCGTTCGTTTTTGCCACAAGATAAATTAAAGTGTTTCTAAATTAGGTTACAGTGTTTTGGCGCTCTGTTTAAACAAACTGCAGAAAGCATAGCAGGTTTACATAAGAAAGAAACTTGGCAAATGGAATATTTGAACGAAGATGGTGGCGTTACGAAATTGGTAAGTTTGTAAATCGTCAGTTTAGATACGTCCTTTTTTCTTAACTACATTTTCAATTTCAAATAGCCATACCTATTTGAAGAAATGGTTATGGAAATTTCAAAACGAGCACGCGAGAAAGTGATCGCTTGTGGTCCCCGAGAAGGTCCATTGTTTGCTAATCCTGCGCATCAACTTCTATATTACAACTCTGTCAAAACGCTATTTACATCATTCGCGCGATGTCTACAAAATTTGGCATTCAGTGGATGCGAAGAAGCCCTTGACGATGACGAGCCTTCCGTTTCGCAATTAGTTGGTTCTCCTTCCGGATATAAAAGCAAGGGCAACAAACATCAAGGCCCAGTAAGTTGTTCAGCGCGTATATAAATGTACAAAGGAAGAAAATTTATCTTGTATCGTATAGTTTATCGTTACGAAAAATAAATGAAACATAATTTGTAGCATCTTTTGAAGTCGGTGATGTATTTTAGCATTACTTCTGAATTTTTTATCAGACGTGGGAACAATGCCTGCTAATCTCGTTAAGTAATATTCGCTATACACTGAACACCATTCTACCGAGAATCGGGGACACATTGAAAGATCAGGATTACCCAAGTTTATCAAATGCAGTTGGATGGAATTCTGATTGGACGCAACTGGAAACATTGGATACCGCTGTCTTAGATGCGTACCTGGAACGTCGTTGTGATCCATTAGTCGGTACAATTGAGCCGAGCATGTATCTAGGTGGCTTAGAGTGGGACTTTGAGAGTGAACCCACTCATGTAAGACCATACGCCCAAGAAATCCTGGCAAATTTAATCGCAGTTCATGCAGAAGTATTGATTGTTTTATCAAAAGCTACACGATGGATTTTTAAAATATAGCTTTTATTTTTATATTGGCTTTTTTTTACAGGTACGTCGAGTTGCACCAGCTTTGTTGCACCGAGTTTTATCGCATATAGTAGAAACTGTAGCCGAAGAACTCGCGAGACTCATGTCGTGCGTGACTCAATTTAGACCGGCTGGAGTTGTTCAAGCACGAACCGACATTATATTTTTAAGAAACGCTTTACAATTTTACAGTACAACAAGGGCAAAGTAATTATTTGTTGTTTTTTTTTTTAATGGCGCTTAACAGTCCAAAGAATAAATTGCAGTGATATTTTTGAATTTTACTTCCTACTTTTTTTTTTCTTTTTTTTTAGGAATTTCTTCGAGGAAGCTTTAGACGCGATACCTCAACCTGTCAATAAAGAAGATCGCATGCGGGTCGACATGTTATTATCGAAAGTGGCAACGTCCATGCATTTACAACTGTCATGTCTTGCCAGTGATACAAAAAATAATACTCCTACATTAATTGCTGATCCTAATCGTGTTACCACTGTATAGTTGTAATAGTAACATAAATGGTCTAAGTAAGTAAATCACTACATTTACTATCATTACGTTTTTATATTATATTCCAGTCCTTGCATCATTTATTATTATCATAATCTATCAGCGTGAATAAACATTATCATGACTTATCATCGTTATATAAATTCATTTTGTGCGAATCGAAATAAATGTTGTAGTTTTCTTATTCGTGTTTCTTTACCAGTTGTAATGTACCAATGTCTGCCTGTAGTAATACGGTATCGCCTAAAAATGCATTTACATATTTTCTTTATGGCCCGTTTGATCGTTTTTCTTCTTTCATTGAAAAAAACATACGAAACATTACCTGTTTGGAAAAGACGTGTAGCCATTTTAGCACCAATGATACACGGAAGCCCATATTCTCTGGCTATTACAGCCCCGTGGCTAATAAGTCCTCCTAGTTCCGTAACTATTCCGCTCAGCAAAGAAAAATATGGACTCCAAGCAATGTCAGTGGAATAAGTAATTAAAATATCACCGTGTTGTATTGTTTTCGCCTCTGATACGTCTGTTATCACACATGCCCTACCAAGAATGGAACCACTGTACACCGATGTTCCTTCAATCTTTACATTACCATCGCTTATCGGCACATCCAAGTTTTCCTACAGTACAAATAGCATATTGTTTTTTAATTTCGGTTCATATATTTTTGTAAAACAACGCAGGATACTATACCTTGATCGGCAACACCATGCCAGTGTTAAATTCTGGATATATGTATTCTTTTAATTTTGGAAATACCCTTTTCCTACGATAAGCTCTAAAAATATTTGTTAAAATACGTTAGCGATTGAAAAAGTTTTAAAATAAAATGTAAAAATTTTTACGATTCTATTACTTCTGTACTAATGTTGCATTACGATGGCTTAGAATTTGTTCTATTTCTTCGTTCGTTAAGAAGAATATTAGATCTTCCGAGGGTAGATATTCTTCTAAAACCATTAATTTTCCTAGTCTTTTATAAGCGAGTCGCAGTGTATGTATGATATTTACAAAAATCGATTTAGTTATTTCTCTACGCGCAACAGCTTTTCTGCAGAAAGGTGTAATTTTTCTCAAGAGCCATTTAGAAACCGGTGATTTTGGTGTTTTCAATAATGCCACTGTTTCATCCACACTGAACGTTTTAGTCGAAGTGTTCGCTTCGGGAGTAACTATCATGGTCTAACAAAAATGATAACGAAGTTCAACGAAGTTATCAACGGTTATTATACTCGTAGAAATAGCTTGTTTGAGATTACCTGAAGCGTGGCAATGAGATTCTCGGGCCTAAGAGACCACGGTTCTGATATGAAGTCCATTTCTTGAATACACCTATGTCCATGCTCTTTAAGAAAATTGTCTAATTCTTCTGCAGCAGATGGGCAATTAATTTTCAACCAGTCAATGCCGTTTGTAGGTTCTACTTTTCGAAATTCTTCGTCCTTTTTATTTTCCTTTATACGAGTTATGAATTTTTTAAGGCTCGTTAATATTTTGGTACCAACAATGTCGTTACTAGAGCCGAACAAAAGAGCGATATCCGAAAAATGCTCTGGCACAATGTCCGTATAACCACTTGTTAATAGTGCCATTGCCATGATTTGATAAGTGATACTGACTCTCGATGCGTGCGTATGGTAATCTACTATCTAAAAGTTTCATGCCAGTTAATAGGTATATCGAAGAATGTTATAATATAAATAACTTACTGGTTTGTAGGTATCTTCCAATTGTTGAACGATTTCGTTGTACAAACTATACGCAGTATTGAAATCCTCTGCTTTCAAATTGAATTTTTTACACGTAACCTTCGCCATTCTTTCTATCGCGCTGTTTTGTATCGCTTCCCTTGCCATTTTAAAAATTGCACGAATTTGAAAACCAGGCGCTGCTAAACCGTTCTTTTCGCACACAATTTTATGAAGTTCCGGCGTTAACACGACTTTTCCGTTAACAGCAATATCTATGACCTTATTCAGTAACGTTATTTTTTCAACAGGCTTTTGGAGGAACGTCTATAAATAATAATTGTAAAGTGTAAATAATAATTTTCAACGTACGCGTTCATGAAATAATTCATGAAATTATTCAAAGTAACTTACGGCGTAGTAATTTATGGTGGCTCTCATTCCAAACATATTAAAGCAAATTTGATTCTTAGTTTGAATTCCGCGATTGAACACTTCATTGAATACACTTGGTAGAACAGATATTGATAAGGGTGAAATTGGATTTGGAAATACTTCGCCAACATTGCCAAATACGTTAATATCGACGTCGCTAGGCACACCTGAATCTAATTCGTGTATCAATTCAAATTCTGTCCACGTGTATAATGTGGTAATAGGTCGTGCTTGAAGCAAATAAATTTGTTCATCGATCACTGCCCATTCTATGTCCCTAGCACTGCCGAACAGAGTTTCTAAATTTATTCCTATAGCAGCTAATCGCAAAGCAACGCTGTCCGATAAACAAATTGTTTTGCTTTCCTGATTATTCAATTTAACTGAAACTACTCCATCGTCGCTTGCTAACATTTTCTCATTTTTATTCCCGACTGTCGAACTTTGCACGGTTAATTTATTGTCCCAACTTTTATGAACGACTATCGTGTCTGGTTCAACCGATGCTGACACAACTGTCTAAGTAAAACATGAAAAATTACTAATTGCAGTGTTTCACGAATATAGGTAAATCTTTTTTTCGACAGTACCTCTCCGAGCCCATAATTAGCCGTAATAATGATATTTGAGGGGTCGCCGGTAGTCGGATGTCTGGTGAACATTACACCGGCTGTATCAGGATTGATCATTTTTTGAACGCAGACTCCCATTGATGTTTTTATAAACATACCGTGCTGTTTCCTTACATGCAAATTATCTGATATTAATTATATTAATTAATTTTATCAACACTGACCACGCTTCTTAAATTGGTATTACCTGTAGTTAACGCTTTGGTATGAAAACAAACTCGCCCAGCACATAGCTATACATTTGATAATGTTCTCTGTACCTCGAACACCCAAATACGTTGAATTTTGTCCAGCTGCCGAGGTTTCTTCGCTATCTTCGCCTACTGCACTGGATCTTATTGCATATCTAGGTGATTTATCATCGTCTTCTGACTCTAAATTTTCGATCGCTTTCAAAATTGCATTTCGTACCTTCTCGATCAAAGGAGTTGACTGAATAATGTCCATTGCTCTGAAAGCATAGGATAGATAAATATTATTCGGTTACCGATAAAATATCGAACAATTTATAGTTTCACTGAATCAGATAATTTACTCGTTGCAATATCTTTGAAGATCACCATCCTTTATACCGACGCTGACATCTTCGATGTCCCTAATTATTTTTTGTAGTTCTTTGTGAGCATGCAATTGCAATTCTAATGCAAAAATTGTCACGCAAAATCCTTTCGGTACAACGAACTGTAAAGATGATCATAGATTCAAGTAGACTCGGAGACAAAATAGAACGCGTAACACTTACTTGTGCGTCCTCGATCGAGGTCAATACTGCAAGTGAAAATCCTTTTCCGCCAACAATATTTTCGTTTCGACATTTCTCATCGTTAAAATATATAACGTAATCACTCTTTTGTACGGATGTATTCGGTTGTTTCAAAAGCTCTAGCTGTTTAGGTACTTTCGTATCACATGGTCCGCTATAAGGAGACCATAATTGTATCAATCCAGTACCTACTTAAAACTTTCATCTGTTAAATACCGTACGCCGTAAAAAATATTGCATTCAAATGTTTCCGAAATCGTACCCGATTTTCCGTTTACTTCCAACTTTACAGTGGCAATTTTATTTTGCCAGTTCCATGGTTGGCCATGATAAAAAGTTATTGGATCACTGCCACTTACAACGATATTGTACTCTGTGCCCCTGGCTGTAATTAAATTCTTTTAATTATTATCGTTTAGATATTTTTAAACATGGATTATTTACGTATATCGATTGGATTCGAACCTTCGAATCCTAGTTTGTATGTAGAGCTGCTATTAAAATTATCTCGCGTAAAATCGGATAGCCTGAAATCCATCGTATCTATCTGATATTCTTCGTCGTTACTGTGTCTGAACTGGCCAAAGTGTATTCTGTAAGTAATAGGTATTAAATTATATATTAAACTATGATGCACTGTATGTCAATTGTACCGTGGAAAACTCTGTTTTGTAGTGCCTACGCCAAGGTAATATATGTCCCCGAGTGGCATTACAACAAATAACGTAGCCGATTCATGAAATTCGTCTTTTCCCCAACGATGTTGATGAAGTCCACGCAAATACATCGTGGACACAGATGCACCTTTATACGTTACTTGTCCTATCATAGACCCCATTTGATCGAATCCTCTATTAGCGAATAATTTTCTAGGCATAAACATTTATAAAGATTATATTATTTTTATAAATGAAAATCAAATCGTAACAATGCTTTTATATTTACTGAATACATTTTATTTGTCCATTCGAGGTTCCATGGTTCGCGAGCTAATGCATCAGCATGCAACTTAGAACTCCAATCCTCCGGCCATCTTAACGGATAGATATTTGCAATAAATCTAAACAAAAATTCTTCTTTTAGTTTGAAATAAAATTACGTAATTGCCACGATAACTATTGTTTCATATTTACAAGAAATTCAAGCGAACGTGTTCGATGTTATCGCTGCTACATTCACCGCCGCGAGCTAAATTTCGAAGCATGCCATTATAAACTATTCTCCAACGTTTCTGAAATTCTAAAAATTCGATCTTGAGTCCACCTGCAGTCCACTCTTGATTTAAACCGTTTATTAACGTAGTGTCAGGATAATCTGTTGAGAAAAATATAATATTATACTCTGGTTTGATAGTTAACATATTGTTTATTAACAAACGAAGAATTTTCTACTTGGCAAAACATATAGTTGACCATCGGATGTATTAAGCTGCAGTGATACTTCTGCCAATTGAAACTTTCTATGAGAGAACTTGATAAATAAGCAATTGCCCTTCTGATCTGTACCATAAAAGAGTACACTATTGTTGCTCTAAATACAAATAAAAAACTATATTGTAAAGATATATATATATATATATATACACATATATAGTAAAATAAATTCGATTTTGATTTTGGTAAGGCAAATAACACGTACAACTTCTTCATCTTTGTTTTTGAAACATTTTTGGACATCTTTTTTATAAGTATGCAAATCCTTTCCATGTCTCCTTTGTGACACGGTAACACAAAATTCTGCCCACCAGTGTTTTAGTAAGAAATAAAGATCTAAAAGAAGTTTTCATTAATAGACACGAACTATCTTATTAAGAACAGTTAGTATATAAAAACTTACCTAGTTTGGTGTCATTTGAGTCGAAACGCGATAACTTCCGTTTATTTATTGCCTTAATCCAAGAATAGAATTTTAAGGTAATAAGAATTAGGGATAAAATTTGAATGACAAACAAAATGTTTGCCATTTTCAAGTTCTTCTCTTCGATCGGTAATTCCAGTAAGTAAATGTCAGTGATATTCACTGGTGTAGAATTTTAATGAAAATGAGGGCAACTCGAGTGAGCAGAAAAAATATAATAAAAATCTGTTATCGCTTCAGACATTGCGATCAGTCACCTATCTAATAATTCAAGATAAAAAATGTAATTAAAGAATTCGTGATGATAGATTACAACGGTCATGATTGATATCCGCTAATACGCACTTTTTAATCAATTTTTTGTTTCTGCACTAAATTCATCTGTTTACGCGCTTTATCTTATTTTTTCACACAGTTTAAATGTTACTTCGATTCGAAGTGAACACATGCGAACGCTGACGGCTACAATACTAACAGAGCATTCATCATTTCCTGTACCACTTAAATAGTGTTACGTGACCTTGAAAATAATCTCGAAGAATAATTACATAACACGTATACTTAATTTGTTATAGCACACAGGAAATATCGAAACATGAAATATCGAAATTTCCAATACTATAATGTTATAGGAAATAAAATAAAAGGCAATTGCCAAGAGATTAAAACGAATCGGAGCTGCTAGTAAACTTTTATCTTATCTAAAAGTGAATTAGAGTGCCTTCCATTATCGCTCGGTTACAATGATGATTGTCTTAGAGTTAATGCGTTACAATATTCGATGAGAAATGTATCGTAATATTCGATCAACAAACAGAAGTGACAGGAATATGATGAAATATTTTAATCTGTTCAGATCTTATTCCAAAAATCGCTTTGTCACTATACGAAATAGTAATAAAGAATAGTTGCATTACATGGAACATTTTTTAAATCGTTCTAATGTACGTGCACCATTAATATAGTTGGAGAGGTTTAACATGCTGTCGTGTCTTAATCATAACAGAAATATAAATATCAATTAAATAAATCTTTATTTTAATCCAACTTTTTGCTCACACTATCAAAATCAATAGTTTCTTCACCGATACAGTCAACATCTGGACGAGATTTGTCTACTGGATATAGCCTATAATTTGTAAAATTATATAGAACGTAAACAAAGTATTTAACAAAAAAATGATGACTCACCATCGCTGATATAGATAAACGAGAAAAACAGCGTCATCTCTGAAGCAAGCTATTCTATGCGCGGTCGGCGTAGAGATTATAAATGCGAAAACGTCGTCGATAAACGTATTAAATGCTTTGTACATAAACGTTCTCCATGGTAAATGGGCCACAGATTTTAACTTATAATTTACAAAAAGTTGAGGAAGCATAAATAAAAATCCGAATGCATAGACACCATTCACTAAGGAATTTATGCTCCACGAGTACCAACTGAAATATTAAACATCATGCACGTGAGAATTCATACATTTCATGACCGAGGTTAAACATAATCTTCACCTTTTATGAGGTTGATAAATTAAAGAATATACTGCACCACCGATAACGAGAGGATACAACAAATAACTTAAGTAATGCATACTTTCTGCATCAAATTGCCTGGTTTTAGCTTCAGCCACATTACTTTTATCATTCTCGATGAACCTAAGGTTTAATACCTTTTTCAATTTCCATATCTGTAAAAGCATATAAGACGAATATCAGGAAGAAATATATACGACTGTCGATTTGTAAAATTATGAATATGCAGACTGTTACCTCGATAATGGATCCGATCCCGGTTGGAATAAGAACAAGTAAAGAGGAACCTTCGTCTAACAAGTAAAGAAAAATAACAGTTTGGCTAAATCCTCTCCACACGACGGTCCATTTACTAAGGCCTATGAGGTTATCTTTTTTCCTCCAATAACTGACATCATTTTTGAAGGCAAGAAAGTCAAACAGCACCTGCGGTAAAGTAAAATGTAATAGAAGTACACACGACCTTAAATTTCTTTTTCCTCCTTTTCTACGTTAATGTACGTACATGAATGGCCGCGATAAAGAAAGTTCCTCCTAAGATGTACATATTAGTGTCTACAAAAATTCCTTTTACTTCGTCTATATCCTTATCAGAAAATCCAAGATTTTTTATACTTTGCATAGTAGTTTCTACTTGTAACATTAATCTTAACTTTCCTAGGGAAATTGGAGAATAATGCAAAGTAATATTAATTGTATCATTTTGAGGCATGATTCTCACCAAATCACGATGTCTGCTTTGCAGGAAATCACATTTGACTATAGGTAGAAATGTTCTACCGTGTATAATTCTGAAAGAAAGTTTATTATATCTGTAGTCGATAACTGCTCGACTGTTAATAAAAAATATTACCAACGTACTTTAAATGATTTACAAGCTCCATCGGTACATTAGTCACCGGAAGTTTTATATCGTCTGTCATTATTGTAAACGTCGCATGACTTCTAACAAAAGTGACAGGTTGCATCAGAATTTTTTTCTCCTTCCTCGTATCAGATTTCTTTTCACCCAGTAAACTAAAAGTTTCTGCCTCGGGTACCATGTATTCCGTCATCTTGATACTCGTATAAGATACGTACGAATCCTAAGAAAAATTTGTATTAATTTAAAGTTAAGCCCAAACGCAATTTATGATATCTTCTATATATACTTTTCGTGCATCCATAATGTTTTTCCCAAATGTTTTAGAACCGGGTGCGATAATAACATGAAGAAAGAGTGTTCCATTGTTTCTTGTTGGACGTCGAATGTTCAGAGTTACAGGACTGACAGAACAGAAATAATATATATTTCCATGTACGCTACACGCTATCTGTACATTGATATTTATAAAATTATATATAAAATCTATACTTACAAATCAGCTGTCTGTGTATAATTGAAATTTTTATTACCATAAACAAAATCTGTCTGATATTCTGCAGGGTTTTTGTCAACAGAACTGTAAACCTGAAGTTGCAATTGCGGCTTTTGATTTAAATACGATACTAAACATGGTTTGTTTTCTTCACAAACTGGTGCCACAAACAACAAAGACAAATCATAAATCGAATAAACAATATAAGCTAAAAATATTTTGATCAGTATAAGAGTGAAGGATGGCCACTGCATCTTTATAAATTTTGACTAAAGTAACCTTAACGTTGTTTATATTCACTCATTTTCCTGTAACGATCAGAAACGAGATGGCGTATTCGCTGCGTGGTGTCGCAATAAAAGCGTGAAGACTTGTGACATAGAACTTCATTAATTTCATAAACAATAGACGATGACTGTATCACTGACAGTTCATTGGCACCAAAATATTTAGAAACATCAGAATTATGTTTGCCGTCTGAAAAACTTAAGACGATTCTATAGAAAATATGGAAAAAAATATTAGTTCCAAGCAGCAATAACGGTACCGGTAACCAAACGACGCGTATTCTTGATTCATCTTGAACGTGTAGTGTCGCTACGACACGGATGCCATCTAACGATGAAAAAGCTAAAGAAACGAAAACGATACACGAACACAATCCGTTCCAAGTTTGAAGGTAGAGAATTTTCGATGAAAAAATTGAAACGCAATAAAAAAACTAGGTCTGTTTGACTAATCTAACAATGTTGATAACATTGTAAGCTCGAGCAAATTCAATTTTGCATTAAAGTCTACGGGGATATGGTGTTTCGGTGATTATTCCTCCGTGGAATGCGCGGCCGCCGCGCAGAAGGAATATACACGATAATCACTATGCAAAATCGTTAATTACTCACTTTCTGACCACAGCCTATGAACTTTTATTATAAAAGAATGTTCAGTGATCCCTCAGCTACTTTCTTGTATCACATTTGTTCAGATTTTTAATGACATTAATTAGTTATTAACTAATAACCTAAGGCCAGCCACGGTGACAAGACGTATACACGAGGACACATTGAATAATTAATTACACGTTTTGAATCGTTAATTACTCACTTTCTGAGCGCAGTCTATAAACTTTTATAATTAAAGAATGATGAGCAATGCATTATTTACATGGTTCAATCATAAAAGTTCATAAATAATGTCCGGGTAATGAGTAATTAATTATTTTGTGTTAGCACTCTGATACGTAAGTACATGAGCCGCCTATGTCAATTCTACTGCACATGTAAAGTGGAATATTTCGGCACTTTGGCGACGTAGTATGGTTCCTGAGGCATTTAGAAACAAATTTCTATTAAGGTTTGATGTGTTTTGATGCCTAATAAAGCCAGAAAATCAATTTTTGTCGAATTCGGGTCCAAACCGGTACAGTTGGCGCCATCTAGCGGTGAGCGGCGGAATTACGAAAAAATAAAATTTCGATTTTCTCCAAAATTAGGCAATTTTACGTATTTCTGAGGGTCAGAAATTGCTCTGCGGCCTCTCTAGAACCTGTATAATGCCACAAGAACCGTCTGTCCATGAAATGGGCTATTTTTCTATTTTCTTTAATAATGGCCCTAGCAGGCTATAATTACATTCGTTCGATTCCTTAGGCGACAGGGAAAAATTTGTATATCTCAGAATTTTGAAAAAGTACCTAGTTTTCGAGAAAATCGAGATTTTCTATTTTTGTAGTTCCAACTTTCACCGCTAGATGGACGGCAATTTTTTAGTCCATGAAATGGGCTATTTTTCTATTTTCTTTAATAATGGTCCTATCAGGCTATAATTATATTCGTTCGATTCCTTAGGCGACAAGGAACAATTTGTATATCTCAGAATTTCGGAAAAGTCGCTATATTTCGAGAAAATCGAGATTTTAGTTTTTAGTAGTTCCGCCGCTCGCCGCTAGATGGCGCCACCTGTACCGTTTTCGACCGAATTCGACAAAAATTGATTTTCTGGCTTTATTAGGCATCAAAACGCATCAAACCCTAATAGAAATTTGTTTCTAAATGCCTCAGGAACCATACTGCGTCGCCAAAGTGCCGAAATATTAATTTTTTTATTTTCCTTATTTGCGTGTTCAGACCCTCACTTTTTGGGATCAGTTTCTTCGGTGATTATTCGTTCGTGGCAGGTCCGATTAAAATTTTTTTTTTTCTATGTCCATCTGGATGTACATACGCATGTGCGTGCAAAATTTGACGAGAATTGGTTGAGTGGTGCAAAAGAAAAACGCGGACAAAGAAGTTGCAAAGTCAAGTATAAGAGCTTCGCTCGCCTTCGGCTCGCTCGTTGAATAAATCGCTGAATAAAATTCGTATACGTTAGGAGCGGAACTTCTCTGTATCTATTACGTGCAGAAATATTTGGATGTGGGAATTTTGATCGTAGGGAATTTTCCGATCGCAGAATCGAGAGATTTAAAGGTTTGAAAATTTGTTCGTACTTCCCGTAACGCTGCACTGCCGAATCGTGGATATAGAAGTTTCGATCGAATAATATGCGAGTGGATTTATTCACAACCATTACTATAAAAGGAATCAGTGATAATTTTACATTTATTAAACGCTATAATCTATCACAATAAATTTTCTTCCTCTTCTGCGCGAGGCTCGTATAGAAATATATTTGAACAAACAAGTGCTAACTTCTACAGAAACATAAATCGTATTTGGAAGATGGCGAGAAATCACCACGGAGTTCGCACGTCTATACATAATAGATATACTTGTAATTATTGTTATAGTACACGTACATGTACATATATACAAGCTATAAGTGCAGTGGAAAAGACGAATGAAATCTCCTCGTGTCTTTTTGCTGGATATGTTATAAAGGCATAAAGCTACAAACTACGGTATTGTATTTGGTCCAATCTTTTTTGTTAGCCCGATCATCCTGTTTCGAAAATATTTAAAGCTGATCGTGTATGCTAAGCGATATTAGTTCGATCTCTATTATTCTATTAGAACCGTGTTTAATCTCTTTTGAAAGTTCGAAGACCGTGACACGTTCAAGCTCGACTTCGAATTAGAAAGATAAACACAGGTATGGTTCGTTATACGAATCGAAATTCACGGTGCGCGTTAGTTCGGAAGTATTTCTCTGGCGATTCGTAGGAATTCACTTTTATTAAATTACTTTTCGCACCCTCTAATATGTCTAGCTAAAAATTAATGGTTTTTAATTAATTTGTACTTACTGTTCTAAAAATGTAACATTAATTATCGCATCGATAAAGTATATACGTTATTGCACTATCCGATTACTGTAGTCCGACAAAAAGCGATTAGTCGCTTTCCTTTCTAAACCGACGTTTTGCCAATCGTATTAGCGGTAGAAAAATATAGAGAACGATGCAAGTTTAATGATGAAAATTTGATGGCGATACGCACGATGCGGTATACCCCGCGTTACACGTCGTACAGGAGACATTCGCGAAACGCGTACGACGCGAAACAGGGATATCTATGAAAAGGATTTCGCGCGCCAAACAATTTTGACACGTCGTCAGTTTTTCGAAGAAATCGCAAAATCGACGGAGATTACCTAAGAAGTCTGCGTAAACGTTTAAAACATTTTTTGTTCGCTTATTTTTTGTACGCGGTTCGCTAGCGATTAGCGATAGCGCTTAACGGAAATAAACCGCGCGTAAACGGCTACGTTAGAAAATCCACTTTTCTTTTTCCACCGTTGAAAATAATGTCCGGTAGACGGCGTGTAAGTACTACTGCTCCAACAACGATATTTGTTCGTGCGCTTCACCGTCGGCTATACTGAACGTTTCCATTCTCTTTCCAGATTGGATTATCCTCTTTTGTCATAGCTTCGTGTGCTTCACACTGTCTGTCCAGTAATTTTGTATTGTCATCGCTTCTAACGAGTTTAGGAACGAGTCATTATCCAGGCTGTACATCTCCTCTGAATTATCCTGTGAACGAAGCAAACGGAAAAGATAAAAATCTATCAAAAGTATCTGGAGGGAATTACGACGATGAGACGTTTAAGAAAAGGTCCTATACTTACGCGAATAGTGGAATCATCGATATAACCGGAACTATCTGGATTGCTGCATTTATCGCTGTTCAGCGTCTGCGGTGGGTTCAGGTACCTGCGCCTGTAACACGAATCTCTCCTTAGAACGTACTTACGTCTCTTTCAACGAGCGTGGAGAACGCGTTGATTAATTACCTGTACATAATGAATCCGAGGCTACCCATCGTGCTGAGTAGAACTACGGTCGCTAAGCAGCTGCCGGTAATAGCGGCAATGTCCACGGTGGATCTCGACGAACCACCCTCTTGCCTCGAGCCTTGGCTACTGCTGTCATTGTAATCGGTAAGTTGATCTTCCTGTACCTGATCCCTTTGAAAGTCCTTCGGGAAGGCGCTTCTCGCTCTGCTCAATCGAGTCGACTCGCTTACTCCAACTGCAAACCGTCCAATCGATTAACTCGAACGGTTGTTAATAATTAATAATAGTTAGTTAAGGAAAATCACCTTCTAAAATGGATGCAGCGGTAGCGAATAGTTGTGGTTCGACGAGTTCCTCGTCGATTTCGACGTCGTCGGAGCGATTGAACGTCCTGATAGCGGAATTTCCGACGGCCGACGATAAAGAGGAGGAGGAGGAGGATTTCGTTTTGTTCAGTACCAGCCTGATTCTCGACACCTCTTCCTGAAGAGGTAGCACCGTGAGATTCTCCACCTGGTCGTTACTGCCGTTCCGATTCCCATTTTCCTCGACTTTCTCTTCCTGCTCGTACTTGGATCTACCTCCTGCCTTGTTCGTCGTCAGGATCCACGTGATCTTGCTGTCTTTCTTCGTCGCAGGACGCAGAACTCTGTTCGTGGTCTCCGTCGCGCGTTCCGCCGTTAAAACTCTGATCGCGTCGAGATTCACCGCGTTGCTGGTGTTCCCATGATACTCTTCGACGAGTTCGGTGCTGGTTTCGACTAGGCTGGATCCTTCCATGCCGGCCGAAATCGTGCTGGACTGTCTGTCGAAGATGACGGCCGTATTCGTGGGAGGATGAAGACCGATCGCCTTTGCCACGCGAAAGTTCTGTCTCGGTTCGGGACTGTCCGTGTCAACGGAGCTGATTTCCGGCGTCGATTCGGAGCTCAGGCGATCCTGCACCCGGTTACGCGGCTCCGAGGTGCTCGACGGTACCGGGTTCCCTAAGATCGCTGCAAGAAAACGGAATTATCGATACCGCGTACAATCGTGTCACGTTCTTTGTACCGTACGGAGTGGTATAAATATAATCGTAAAAAGGAAAGAAAAAAACCGTAGAGGCTTTGACGGTAAACGCGTTGAAAGGTGGAAATTAGGCGCGAGACGTGCTTAAAAGCACGTGGTAAGTATCCCAGTCAGCGTTTTCCTGATATCGAAGTATCGGATGTTAACAAAGAGAGCTACCCAACGGTTTAGTCGATATTTAAATGAGCTTCCTGTACGGTGTACGGTGTACAGTCTACAGTCTACAAAGTGTAATCGTGTAAAAACATAGTGAGCAGGTCAGCCGATTAACATTCTGCTCAATCTGGACTATTTCAATCTGGTCCTCGTGGATTTCAATGGAATTATCTCGTAATTAGTTGGTCCAGTAAATATGGTTAAGCTAGCGAGTAAGTCGAGCCCGTCGGTAGATTTTTTAAGGAAAGCTGAAAGATTTATTTGAACCGTCGAAAACCTTGATCTTCGTGGAACTTGATGATCGTCGGTAAATTTCACGCGAATTCTATCTGGACCGTAACGAGCGTGGCAAACAACGAGAGCCGGTGAACGAAGGCGTGAAAGGCATGAAAAATCACGGGATGTCCTTGATTCTAGCTTCTATTTAGAACGCACCGAGAAATTGAGCGGTAACCCAGAACCAGTGCATCCACCAATGCAACGTCATCGCGTCATCTGCGTGTACCTGGAACAGAACGTGGACAGAACAACGTTAGTCCGTTGGTTGCGTAACAGCGATCGCAGTGCGCGTTACTAACGATAGCATCGAAACCGATTCGAATTTCTTCGAATATTTCAATATTTTGTTTTTCAATATTTCTTCCTTTCGAAATTCCCTAAGCCGAAAGTGCTCCTGTCTGGACAATTTAGTCCGTGGATACGCGTGATATCGACGCAGAGAGTAGAAACGCGGTGCTTCGGAAGATTGATTTAGTGGTACCGCTAACCCGCGTTAAGTGGCTCTTTAATCGACAACGGGAAAAACCTTGTACAGCGTACAGCTAAAAAAATTCGCTTTTCGATCGGCAGAATGTCGATGTTTAAAATCGACACTTTAAAACGTTCGTTTTGCTTTTTCCTTATCTGTACGCGTTAGAAAGTACATTAGTAAGTTGTTCGGAACAGGCACCGGTATGCGGTCAACCAGAAAACAACGTATTTAGATGAGTAATCTGAACGGTTGCTACACTCAAATTTCCGAGTGACTCATTTCGAGACGAATGGAGGAAAGAATTGAAAAAACACCGAACCATTCGATCGCGCGAGCGAAGACGTCGATGTCGTAATTCCGTTACGATCGACCGGATCAAAAGATTTGGAAAATTTGCTCGTTTAGATCGTCGAATCGCGGAACAGGAAAGGACAGTTCGGTTTCTGTAACCGCGAACAATTTCGCGATTCTCGCACAACAGGTTTCGCTATAGGATAACCGAATCGTCTGGTTTCCCAGGAACGCGTCACTCGAAAAGAGTTTGTTCCGGTATCTTTATCTCGAAGAGCGTGCACACTAGTGGCGGGAAAATTGCGACATTGTTCGCGTACCCTGACGTCCCGGTGCATCCAGCCTACAACTGGTTAGAGTCGGGAGAGCATGACCGGTCGGTGAATAACTGTACCGCTCTCTTTTTTCGTCCACCTTCGTTCGTCGCTTCGAAAATGCTCGTAAGCGCGTGCGACTCGGATCCGAGTTTCCTGTTCACGAGTCGACACAAATCGCAGATATCTAGCTATTTAAATACGCGCAAATCACTCGAGTGCACACGAATGGCCACGGTTTAAGGCTTAAGGTGTTGTCTCACCAGACGATCGAGAATCAATTAAGCGGCACAGCGTTCCAGTTCCTGAACCGAGGCGCAACGTGAACTGACGAGTCATACGGAGCCACGTACCGGTGAATCACGGAAAGATAATCGCGAGTCCAATGAAGATCGGGCTTACGTTATCGATGGTTAAGAACACAGATAAAAAGAAGGTAATAACACTTCCGCGAGAAACAATGAGCCACATGACTTTCAGACCAAAAACTGTACATACGCGTTGATCGCCTTCTACGCGCTCTCGTTAACACCGTAATCGGTAAACGGACCGACTACAACGTTGCTTCTACGAATTACGCTAATTTAACGCGGAGTACCGACTGTTATATTACTATTTAAAACCATTACGATAATACAAGGAGGGAATAAGAACGTGTTTCCTAAACGGGAACAAACTCGAGATGGTATGCGAATAAATGGTATTGCGCAACCGCGTCAGTGGAACTCGTTCCTTCCAGCTGTACTTGATTTACTTTCCATATTTATGCATCGGGAAGGTTAACCTTCGACCAAGCTTTACCAGAACAAGTTGAAATTCGACCTTCGGTCCAGGTTCGCGAAGGTTGCCGCTCGCGGTCTCCCGTATAACTTAGACGCGCATTAAAATCGCAAAAAGTTCACGAATCCGTCGTACGTTGATCGAGAATGGCCTTTATTCGTCCGTTCGACGAAACGATAATTCAGTCCGAAGGGTAATTTTACCGATTAACACCGCTCTGTCTCTAATTGCTCGTTAATCGCGTTCTCCGATCGTGCTTGGTTAACCTTCCCCACCTTTGTTTCCTTCTATTTCCTTCTATTTCCTTCTATTTTCTTCTATTTCTATTTCCTATAGAACGCAGTTGTCGCATAATTGTTCCGCGTCGTCGGTCAACGACGTGTAGGATTCCTTTTTGGGAAATTTAAGAAAGCTGTGCAAAGAAAGTAAGGGCGTTATCGAGGGTGCGTTCGCGCTGGACCCGTATTGTCGATGTAAAAACACTAGGTGGAAAGTTGTAAAGATGTTGGTATAGTAAGCTAGGCGATCGATTCCGTAGCTGAAAGTGTGTCGGTACCTATATATGTAAGTGCTTTGACCCACATGTCTGCGAACGCGTTAACTTCTCACTTGTTGCGAACGGAAGTTGCAAGCGAAAACGCGGAAGAGAAGTACGTTGTCTAGCGTCGCAACAGTGCCTGCTAACGAGTTCCTTCGCACCACGAGACGCGAGCTTCTATGCAAATCTGCAGCACGCCAAGTTCCCAGTAATTGATCGGACGCGCACGCTTCTTTCGGACAAGGACACGCGCTCGTAGCTCGACAATTTTCATATTTTTATACGAAACATTTAGAACGGATAGACTAATAGAAAAACAAACGTTCGGCAAACTTCGAATAACACGAATGGACAGAGGAAACGCTTAACACGGTGCCGTCTCGTTAGTAACGGCCAGACAATTCGTTGTTGCGGCAACCAATTATTACGGCTTTGCTCTCTCGCTGCAGTTTCGAAACTCCTAAGGAGCCGAGTTTAATTTGTTTTTAATTGCGTGGCCATCGCAGCGACCGTTCTCTACGTTGCACCGGCTGACTCGAGAAAACCTATACCTTAGCCTCTCGCTCTACAAGAGCGTACATTATTCGAACAAGATCTCAGATTTTCCTTTAACATACAACGAAAAAGTTACGCTAGAATTCTATTGCACCAACTATTCTTCTACTCTTGCCGACAAGCTATTCAACTTTCGAGACACTGATTGTTCACCGAGGATTCAGGATTCAGGAGCTCTTCGATTCGAGCGGAATGGTACAACGATTCGAAATTCGTTCTTAAATTCGTTCGATCTCGAGGAATTTCCAATGTTCATCGTGCGAGAAAATATCGTCGATGTTTGTTAACCTGCGGATTAACCTGCTCCAGACCGATTTGCGACTCGTTCGGAGTTGACGCGTTATCATCGTGTCCCTCTACGATGCGCAAATCTCGTTACAGACTCTGGGAAATTGGATTAATTCGGCTACGCGTCCGTCGCTCTAATTCGAGTAGTCGTAGACCGCAGTCTACTCTAGGAGACTTTCAACGAGCCAAATCGATGCGCTATCGCTCTGATTCGTTCCCGTTCAGAGAGAGTCGCGCGCGGTTGTCGAGTCATCCGTGTCGTTAGATCGGAGAAAATCGGATCCTCCGAATGGCTCCGTAAAACGACGAGACACCGATACAGAGATTCGAACATTTTGCGGATTTCTAAACGAACGCGAAAAATCTCTAAATACTGGGAATAGAAGAATTTTCAAGTTTCGATACGTGTCCTCGTCTAAAGCGAGCCTACGTTGCACTCGCGTGTACGTTTTTGAAAGCGAAAGCTTCTAATGTAACTGGTAGTCACGCTTGCGTTGACGCAAAACCGGTGAGAAAACAGGGACTCGCTTTCCTCTCGGATTATTAAAAGTTCGCCATGCTCGATCAATCCTGACGTTTACCACTTAACTGCGCGATTAACGAATATAATACCTATGTATTATAATAGAGGTAAGAATCGTTTAAAGAAAAAAATAAAGAAAACGCGGCAGTATTTTTCATAATAATCGAGAGTGAGCAGTTTCGGAGGTAGAAATTACGGATACGCATGACACATTGTAAAATCGAGCATACAGATCGAAAGTCTGTGTCAGCGATAACATTCGCATCGGTCTGCTTCGATCTATTTTTAACCTTACGACCGCGTGTTCCGACCTTTAAAGCTTTCCAGTCTCGTACTCGGCATAAAAAGATAATTTCCATGTTACTGTTCGTATTTAAAAACGTTCTCGAATCCACCGATACAAATGATAAATTTACCTTTCTGTTCAAACTCCAACTATCGAATAAAATGCAATTTCACCTTGACGCGATTAATATGCGGTCCGAGCCCGTACTTCCTCTACTGAAAAATAATTGGCTCGTCGGTTCTATTTATGCCCTCTAATTAAAATTACCAACAAACAAACGTGTAACCGCGATTCTACGATGAGTAAATAGTTGCGTAAGCGAAAATCTACGTCGACGTAGCCGAAACATCGACGATCAAGGTCGACTCGAGAACAGATTAATTGTTAGTTTCCGGTTTTCGCTCGCTAACTCACCTTCTTTTCGTCAACGGTACTGTGCTTTTAACCGACGCCACACCTTATCAATTACAGAGGAAAAACGAACGCAGACGACACGCTAGTCTTTACGATTACGAAACTCGCTTAAACGAGTCACGATGTTACGTGAATTTACGTAGTTGTTTTTTTCGCTAGATCGTTAACGGTTGGTCGAAGGAACAAGAAATTAACAGCGAACACCCGACGACGACAGATGGTCCGTTTCCATCAGGTGCTAGGATGAATAGAAAATTTCTGGAGGAGAGTCGATTCGATAGAATCTAGTAGAAAATTTGATTAAAAATTGAAATTCGCTAGAGAGAAAGAGAGAGAGAGAGAGAGAGAGAGAGAGAGAGAGCTTCCGAATGAAAACAGAGGTTAAAAATAAAATCCATAAAGCGAGAAATCGGAGAACGAAAAACTAAAATGGGAATTCGGTTGGCTGGCGTCGAGTCAAGATTAGATTGCAACGAAGAAGAAAAGCAGAGAAAAGGAGAAGGTAAAATAGCCGCGCGACCACGTGGCACAATCAGCGCCAATTACGATGATTAAGTAAGTGCCGGCAATGGAACGATAAGAGAGAAAAACGAAGAAAACGATAGACGATTTCGCGAGCCGCGTAACGCGTCTGCCCGCATGGAAAGATAACCTAAAGAAGTTTCCTTTCACTCGCATCCACGTTCCGGATAAGAGTCTCGATTGCAACCGGAGGAACAATAGTTTTCGTCACAGTTCTACGCACGCTTTAACTGTTTCGCTGTACAGTACACTAGTTGGCTGCAACGTAATTTTTCTAACAACGCATCAATTTCATTCTCGACTATTGAAACTTACGAATTTGAATAACTCCGATTCCGAAATCTCTATGTCGATCCGAATGTTCGTGTTCTCGACAAATCGGTAGAAATCTAGATCTACGAAAGTGACGGATCAATGCCGTTTACTCTACATCTTTCAGATTATTTCTCTAGAATGTTCGAATCAAAATAGTTTGCTTTTGTTTTTCTTACAATATCGTTAAATCTTACGTAACGTAATTACCAAAACAAAACTGTACATTGATAAGGCATTGGTCGTTTATGTAAACGTCGACAGAAAAAAATACCAAACTGCTCGGCAGCGATACGGCAAAAGATTATATCGAACCTGAACAAAAATTACCTAAATTACCAAAAATTGTCGAGAGAAAGATCGTTTAAAAATGTTTCGCCATACCGATCGTTCACGATGGAATCCGAATCTACGTTAAAAAATGAAAACAATGATATTTTTACTATATTTTAGAATGAACGAAGAAAATTTCATCGTTAGTGGTTGATCTTTGCGCGAATACGTTTCAATTGGACAGCCATCTGCCGGTTTAGATCAATATGATGGCGACCGAACAAAAACACGAATACGGTTTCCTGAAGGATCACTACCGAAAACATCGCCAACGAGGAAGAAAGCGGTTATTGCACTTACGCGAACCACGATCGGTGTACGACTGTTCCTCAACACGGATATGCTTTCTTTTCCGGATCTAACGAGTTATGAAAAGCGGCGTGGTACGAAGATGACCGTGTTTCTATCATGTACTTATACGCGAGTGTCGAATTACCGCGAGTACCGTAAACGCGGGCCAAGAAAAGTGAACGTTGTAGAAAACGAATCGCTTCGCGCGCACGAGAGAGAAAAAGATAGAGGAGGACGGAGAGAGAAATAGCGATTCGTTCCGCTTGTTTAGACCGCGACATAGGAAGAACGAATATAGGGACATCCTGTCGTGGAAATTCGCGTCCCCGGACGGAAGTTGGAGGGAGACCGCAAACGAGATACGCGGTGACCAACAATCGTACACACGTTATTTCGCGTGAATGTGATAACGTACATAATTCGAGCAACGCAAAAACGAAAGAAGCGAGATCTGCAATTTGTTCAACGAGTCGGAGCATTTACGCGCGAGTAATCTATTATCGATCGATAGGCGATTCAGCCGTCGCGACGATTTTCGTTTCGGACGAATCGAATCGGACTGCGATTAGTCGGCTCAATTAATTAGTTCACAATTATTGCGCGAAAAGGATGCATCAGAGTAGAAAATTACCAGTTAGGTTCGATATAGGACCGCGTAACGTTAACGCAACGTCGACAGAGATAAAAGAATAATTGATCCCAAGCTATCTACTTTCGACGCGTTTTATCGATTCTCGTTATCTGGATCGAGGAAAAACGAGCAAAGAAAATAGGCCGTGCAACGCCCACAAATGTTTCTTTCGATGAAATTTTGCTAGGAATAGAAGCGGTTCGCGTAAAAGAACGGGAATGCAAAATGCGTTCAAAAACGGAGAAAGCTTAACGCGTGGTCGAACAAAGTTCTTAATCCTTTCGCTTCGCGTCAATTTGAACCCTATGTCCTGCGAGTTCTTTTCATCCTCGATATTTGCAAATTGTGAATAGAGTCTGAATTGAAATTTATAGTAAGCGACACGAGCGAGGCTTCGTATACTCTACGAGGCAAACAGTTCAATTTCACAATAGTTACGGGAAAATTTCGTAAGATTAACAGCCGTCGCTGTGTTTATCTTCCGGGTGAACTTTCGAGGTAAAGAATGCAAAGAGAGGACTAAAGAGCATCGGCATCGTGGCCTGTCGTGAACGAGTACTATTCCTGGAGATTCTTCCGTGGCTCGTTGTTCGTTTTTGCGAAAAACTTTGTTCCTGCTTGCGCTCCGTTTCAATGCGCGTTCGTTATCAAATTGTTTCCAAGGAAATGCGATTTTTAACGAAGACGTTCGCGATAAAGTTTCAGTCATACCTATGAAACAAAGAAAACGATATCGTTGTTAAAAACGTTTCTATCCTAGTATAATAAAAATCTTTTAAATATGTAAAGTAAAGAAACATGTAAATAAAAAAATTTGCTGGGGCGCGTTGTCGCGACCCCTGCGCCAGGATTAAAAACCTGGAATCGTCTGATTCGTAGTCAGACGCGTTATCCGTTACGCCACAGGACCAATCTGCAGCGAATTTTTTACTCTTGGTACAAACAGCGATGTTATTTTTCCGAAAAAATTTGTAATTTCGCTAATAAATCATTTATTTTTCTCCCTCGCCCTACATCTACCCTGTTTCTCCTCCTTTAACGCGTAAACACGTATGGCTTTCTTTTAACGGATATAATATATTTGCGATACACGTAAAAAGTAACCTTTCCACGCGGTCGATCGACGCACGGAATACTTGCAATACATATTAAACAAATCCCATGAATGGCATTCGCCTCTGACATTTCGAAGAAACTATGTTAAGCATCGTTCGCGGAGATCGTTAACGCGTTAACGCGTTAACGCGAGAACGAAGACACCCGCGTCTAGTATGTACCCACGTGAGAAAATTGCACGACGTTTAACGTCATCGTGAATATCGACTTACCGTCGTCGATCGAACAAACGTTACACTCGGTATTTAAAAAAAATATCACACGCACGACATCCATATAACTAGTCTCTACGATCAGAGACTAGGAACGTAAGCGGTGCACGTTCGACATGCACGACACAGAAGCAAGACTTTCGAAACAATACACACCTCGTGACACTTCCGCGGAACAATAATAATCAACAGCATTGAACGATCTCTCTTTCCAACGTTTCATTTGTTTAAATAGTTTATCTATACACACCCAGGCAAGAGATATTCCTCCGTTGTTTGTGTTAATACAGGTAGCAGACATTCGGTGTTAGATGGACAAGGATTCTGGTGCACGAGCGACCGAAAGGGCACTTGAATTCGGTCAGTAACGTCAGTGTCACCCCGTTACTGTCCATCGAAAACAGGAGGGTGCCGATCCCATCGAAGAAATCCGAAAAAATCTCGTATCGCTGTTTCCCACGAATAAATCATTATTCTTCACTCACCCTTCGTAATTAGATAAGTCACGTGAATCACATACTCGCGCGCGTCCCGTTTAGAAACCTGAGAACACGAGCGAAACACGCCGAGGGCTATCACGACCTTTCGTTATACTCGCCATTTTGGTTTACACTGACACTCAGGAATGAACAGCGAGGTGTTTTACCGTGAATACGCATGCGCGCGACAGGTGGCTGCCCGGGACGTTGAATACTGTCCGTAATGTATCTTCGATGTTTCAAGCGTATCAGCCTTATACAATTTCAATTAATATTCTCCATTAATTACCTGTAACGTGGAAAAGTTATTACACGTTCGTATCGTGATCAGAAAAATGACTACCTATCAAAATCTATCGAATACAAGTACGATATGCGTGTTTAAATGTTCACTTCGACAGTTAAAAATATATACCTGGCTGCTCTACTTGATCGATGGCTGGTTCGTTTGATACCTAAGTTGGTTACCTTCGTACTCCATCTATCGTTTTTACCTGTTAAAGAATCGTGCTAAAGAATCGTGCCCCTCCATTTTTATATTTTTATATTTTTATATTTTTATATTTTTATATTTTTATATTTTTATATTTTTATATTTTTATATTTTTATATTTTTATAATTTAGGCTAATCCGAATTAGGCAAATTATGTAGTGTCTGTTCTAGCTTGTTTTTCACGATATCAGGCTAGATAAAATCATTTACGGAATGACGATAAAAACCACGTTGTATAGCTCGTGTACGAAGAACGATTTTGTTTGATTCGGTATGAAGCGATAACGATCTGTATACCTCTGGATCGGCGATTTCAAATAACGACGTAGAGCGATAAATTTGAAACGACTCGTGTTCTTAAAAAACGCAATAGTTACAAGTAGTAGTACATTTCTTAGCTTATGATAATAAAAAGGCGTTATTTCGTAAGTTATCGGTAATTATGTTTCTCACCTCAAGATCTTCGATGCGTACGTAATTGCAACATTCTGCGCATGCTTAGGCGCCATACGCATGAGCAGAAGCGGTAATCAGGAGAGTTTCAAATTTTAAAATTAACCAGCAATCGCGCCTAAGTTAATTTAGAATAATTTTAAGTTATTTTAGAATAATTTTAATAGAAATCAATGGACAGTGCTTCGATAAATTTCAACGAATTTAAATATAAATTATATCCGCAGCAGATAATTTTCGTGATATTTAGTTTCGTTTTTTACCGCGTTAGCGTTGCAATCTTGTTCCCTCTTAAATCGATAACGTAGCGTGTGTTAAATAATAGTTTCGAAATTTATTCGCTTCTAGAAAAAACATTTGAAACTTGCTTAAAGAAAAGATACGACAGAATGACAATTTATTAATTAATTGTGTGCAGCTGAAAAAAAAAAGTTGGCCCATGGGGGGATCGAACCCACGACCTTCGCGTTATTAGCACGACGCTCTAACTGGCCCATGGGGGGATCGAACCCACGACCTTCGCGTTATTAGCACGACGCTCTAACCAACTGAGCTAATGGGCCTGACATACAAGTTGCAATGTTTGTTTTCATGTCGGATTTTATGGATGCAATTGGTGGTAATCAAAATGAAATATTTTTATCTATGACAACGTTCGCATAACTCGAAATCAATGGAGTTAAATTTAATCGTTAATTTATGTATACGACATTTGGACATGCAAACTTGTTCAAGGAATTTGTCCATTCTACTTGAACGGTCTGGTTTATGAAACGTTCATTATTACACTTGATAAACCTCTCCTCGCGAAGGGAGGTTCATGAACTCTATATCGATTTCACTATTCCTAGACAGAACGAAGAACGCTCGATATACTATCGTTTTCTACATACGTTAACTGATCTAACAATAACCTTCGCGTCATGGATGAAACTCTATGTCGAATAAAAGAAGAAAAGCATATCTTGAAATCTAGCGGTCAAGTCTGAATTTCATTCTAGAGGAAAAACTTACAACTATGCGTTATGTAGATGCGTAGAACGTACTTTATATATAGGTAAAATATCTCGTTTATTCCGTGACGCGTTACCACGCTGACGATCAGCACAAGAATGCCTCTTCGGCAAAACATTGGCCGTGAGGACACCAACGTCACCATGGCCCTTGACGACCATTCATTATTCTTTAGCCTCGTAAAAGTTTCCCTTGCGACCAGGAAAGCGCCCCGACAAAGCGCACATGGCTTGCTCTCGCCGTTCGCATCTATAAAAGCTCGAAATTTCTATCATTTGACAATGCCTTTATCGAAGCTCGTCGTGCAGATTATACATATACCCGACGTGTTGGAAATTGTATAGACCATTTGAACTATTGAAATAACGAAGCAATAATGAACGATACATAATAAACCGACTCAATTTGCATAACGACGTATTAAAGTAGCAGTGTTTCTTTTTGTATTTAAACTGCTATTTTTCCTCGTTCTCGGTGATTTTCCATTAAAATACGTCGCGAATCAGAGTGTAACAGAAAGAGAAATCGAAAAGTAAATATTCATCGAAGGATCGAACAGATACGTAACTTATCCCGTGGGAAATCGATGAATTGGTGCGTTCACCCACAGTCTATAGACAACGGATTCGACTTTCAACTCGAACAATTACACACAGTTCAGAAAATCTGTTTGTTTTTTAAAATGCTCGTTTCAACGCGATATGCAAATGACTCGATCTTTTATTTATACTTGTTGCAGTCAAACAAGATATCCAATGTTCTTGTTATCTGTGCTTTATCTATTAATTCGAACGCATTTTTATCTGAAACATGCGATATCGCGAGTTGCCCTGTCCCCGCCCGATTTACAATGATTTTGCCTCGTTCTCGCTGAATCAGTTCGCAGCGAAATGGATCAACAAACGACACGGTGCGTTTATTCGGCAGTTTACTCTTAATCGAACGTTTACGAATCACGAGGGTTCGATCATTTAAGATTCTAACAGTATCGAAACCTAGCATTATTAGTATTATCATTTTATAAACTCGATCGCTAATTCCGGCTAATCACCGTGTTATTATTTCGATAATACAGCAGTGGTTATCATTCTGTCATTTTTTTGGTGGCGGGCGCCTTCGTGAGACGAAGAGTTTTCATTCTTGTTCCAGATAAATTCAGAAGGTTTTCTTGCTTTGCCAGATAAATACTCCGTAGTTTTCCACTTAAAAAAGCATCGCAAGTGCTCTGTGTAAACGTATCTAATTTACCTTTATCTCGGCCTATTAACCGCTTCTCTCGTCGTATTTATCGAATGTCGCGGCGAGCAACAGCCGGAAGCAAACTAAGCGAGCGTTAATATTAATTACGTACGAAAAATAAGTACACAACGCTATAATATAACTGGTTTCCTCGAGAAACAGCCAACTGATCATACGGCGTATACATGTAAACCGAAACGGGGGGAAAACGACTCTCGCATCTTTATTCGTATATTATTCGTATACTAGTCAAAAGTAAAGCACCGGTCAATGGTAGGCTGAAAGACCGATGCATCGCGGAACGAAAGTGATTGCGTAAACTACATATGAAAACCGGTATATCCGTGGATCGGTGCAACGAGAAAAGGAAGAAATGTTCACAGTTCGGTAGGAGACATACTGTGTGCGTGACGGCGAAAGTGACGCACGTGTGTTTCTCGTTCTATACATATTTCAACGGTTTTCATCCTCTTTTCTTCTTCGGTCTCCTGATTGTGATTGTGTCGCGTTGGAGGAATTTATCGGGCAGAGGTCATCGAGACGGGTAAAACGAAATCGGGGAAACGCGTTATCGATGACCCGTTGCTTTTCTTAACATTCGTTTGACACAACTGTGAACGAGAAAACTCGACGAGTAGCTGCCGTACAAGGAAACAAGGTCCAATTGATCGACCGCAGTCGAAGGAGATGCGCAGGTATTTTACCACTCTCCAGTACTGTAAAAAATCTTTCGAACAGAAAAGAAGCAAAAGTAAGTTAAAAGATCGTTTGCGAGAAAATAAATAGGAACGCGTTCCCGAGATATAATCGACTGAAATTCCGGGCCGCCCTCGAACATCGAGCAAAAGCATCAAACGATAAATAGCGTAACTATATCGTGCGCACTGTTCAATAATAATTTTTCAGCGAAATTATTATACGCTTCCGGAAGTGCATATCTAGCCATGTTACCACCTGCTATTCCGTCCGGCATTCGTGATCATTCTATAGCTGAACCCTCGTTCGATGACGATGCCAAGAATCTCCTCGATGCCAGTCAAAAAGGAACATTTATAGTCGGACGGTTTAGTTGCGATCTGAACACCGACGACTGCGGTTCGTCGCTTCGCGTCCTTTTCTTTATTTTTCAAAGGAAACCTTGTGCGTCTCTTCTTTTCTTGTAAAATTCTTGTTTTCGTTCAGACAGATTCTTCGTTTGCTTCTTTTGAAGAACGACCAGACCGATTTGGTACCGATAAGGAAACTCGTGTGTTCCTTTATTTTGCTCTTTGTACTTGTATACGAAGGAATTTTGTTTTCATCGGTGTAACACGTTTACCGCCGCGATAAAAATAACAATTTCCTCGAGCACATAAAGTAAAGGTATAAAAAATTTCCTTCCCACGAATTGTTTACGCGATTTTGCCGATTATTCATTTTGAGAGCTATCTATTAATTGAATGCGATATCAGTAAGATTCGATTATCGCCGTGACAGTGGATGCGCGTTCGAAATGATTGTCTTCTAACACTGCTGTTTCGAACAATTTGCGCGCGTAACTATCATTTTCCTCAAAGCCGACTTACGCGGTAGCAAAATTATAAAGTGATTTTCTCGATCGATCTATTTGTAAGTTTCAACGAACAGAGTTATGCCAGTTGTTACCGCTGATTTAGCGCTTTTCTTTATCTCCGTGTTGCTTCGTATAAATATCCTTTTAGATTGTATTCTACGTCGTAATCGTTTAAATGTTTATTAAAATATTGCTGAAATCGTACGAGCGTGCGTTGTCTCTATCAAACGTGTGAACGTTTGACGCGAGCGTAACGAAAAGCACAGGAATGAAAATATTTTTTTTAACACCTATCGTCAAGGTTGAAAGCGTTCTTAAAAAATTCCGAACATCAGAAACTTTCGTCGCGATCGAATAGAAACGGAGAAGAATAGAATGATCGCGATTGTCGTTTGTCCCAAATCAAAGGCTTAAAATTTCGCAAACGGTGAAATTGAAAGGCTTAGCGTTCAACTGGTCGGAGGATTTTACATAACCACCTTTCCTCGCGAACGATTTAGCGTAAAAATTTTCGAACGTACACGAAAACATTCGAACGACGATTATCGCTATTTATTAACAGAGTTTAAATAGAAAAATGTAATACGAATGAAATTGAACGATGGACGTGCCGTTGCAGAGTAACGTTCAAAGAAATTATGGCGAAGGCGTACGGAGGTGTGTTGATCGTGGCGGATGTGCTGCTCCTTCTTCTGAAGATTCTCTGTTACATCGTCGAAGGCGTATACAGATTGTTCGTACCTGTAGAGGAGAAAAGCGTCGCTGGAGAAATTGTTCTGGTACGTTAATGACTCGATCGATTCGCGTATAAAAAGGAAAGCAAACCCCACAGGCGAAACAAAATACTTATATAACTTATGTCGTACGCAATTAATTACTTCTGTTGTTAAGCCTCGATGCGACTGGCACTTGCGTCGGCTGGATTTTTATTCATACACACGGTACATCTTTATACGATAATATAATCGCTGTATCTCGTTGCACAGGTTACAGGCGCAGGCCACGGAATCGGCAGAGAAGTAGCGTTAAAATATGCCTCTCTGGGCGCTACGGTTGTCTGTTGGGACTTGAACCAACAAGGAAACGATGAAACCATCAATGAAATTAAGAAACTCGGCGCGTCGAAAGCTTACGGTTACAAGTACATAGAGCATCCGACAATCTCTCCGCGTTACTCGATACATATTTTCGGGAACGAAACAATTAAAATCAATTTTACAGATGCGACGTATCGAACAGAGAAGAGGTGTTTCAGGTAGCCGAGGTAATGAGAAAGGAAGTCGGGAACGTGACGATTCTGATTAACAATGCTGGCATTATGCCCACCCGTAATTTGCTGGATCACACACCTGAAGAAATTAAACGGATATTTGATATCAATGTGATGGCACACTTTTGGGTAATTTATTTTGAAGAAAACCGATAGTTTATCGTTAACGATAAACCTCACCGATTCATTCACTTACCGTTTATAGACCTTGCAAGCTTTCTTACCCAGCATGATTCAAAAGAATCATGGTCATGTCGTTGCTCTTTCCTCGGTTGCTGGATTTTTTGGTCTACCTAATCTCGTTCCTTACTGCGCCTCGAAATTTGCTGTCAGAGGTAAATATAATAGATCACTATTATCAATGTGGAATCAATAGTGGAATCAATAGTGGAATCTGGCTCCATTCTGGCTAATTCTTTGTATTCCAGGATTGATGGAAGCCCTGCACGAAGAGCTCAGAGTATCCAACAAGGACAAGGCTTCGAATATTAATTTCACCACGATTTGTCCGTACATGGTGAACACGGGTCTCTGCAAGAAACCGAAGATCAGGTAAAATTGCTTAAAAAATACAAACAGTAAAAAGAAAGTATAACAAGTTTAACGAACGATCTGTACAATGTTATTTGCATGCAGACTCGATTACTGGACTAAAGGTGAAAATATATTGCACGGAGAAGGGCCACGTAATAATTGACAGAATAGAACGACATGATAGAACTAATAAAATGCTATTTCTTTCGTTAGATTTACAAGCTTCATGGCGATCATTTCACCGAAAGATGCAGCTGCTGAAATAGTTAAAGCACAGAGGCGAAACTACGTGGAACTCTCTATTCCCTCGTTCTGGGCCTATATAAATGCTTTTTACAGGTATGTAATACTTGTTACATCAACTTTGTTTGCATCAACCACATCTATACCTTTTTTTTTTATTATCGTTCGATAATACATTTATTCTTTACACTTCAGATGTGCTCCAGAGACGTGCTTACGCAGTACGATAGACTTCCTAGACGCCGGTGTTGAAGCAGATAGTTAGCGAACATTTAATGTTCCTATGTAAGTGCCGTGCAAGGAAGTGTTATATAACTGTATAAGCACTCTATAACGAAATGTTAAACAAGAATATATTCGCTTACAATTACGAATGATCTTCGTAAACTATCTATAAGAAATAATTTCTGATTTATCACGTGTCGCTTGTCCGTGGTATTTACTTTGTATTACCACTACTTTTTATAAATCCTATTTAAATTTTTACTTTTACGTTTTATAAATTTGTAGATAGTTTTACGGTATGTGAAGAAGATAGAACGTTTAACACGATTATCTGGTTTTTATCGTCGTTACCATATCTACACCCGTCTTACGATATATCGTAAGAGAAAAAAATTCTATGTATAATGATTTAAATGTAATCGAGAAAATATCTCGTCATGTTTATATGTAACGATTCGTATTGCGTCTTCATCTTCTAACGTAATAATAAATAAATATACAAATATTTCTACGTATTCTTATTCTCGTCACGGTCGAATTTTATTCCATTCAGTAAGCATACAACAACATTCGCCTATGAAAATAAGACTAATCATTGTTATAATCATTGTTATCCGATTAAAAACAATTTCTAGCGAACGATTAAAAGCAATCCACGATAACATCCTTCGAACTATCGCGAATTCAATTTTTTAAAACATCTTGCAAAATTCCTATAATAATGTCCCTGATCATTGTCCGAATTTCTGAAATATTTATTAGCCTAATTTAATGTTATATTTTAGTTATATCTTTAATCTATCTTTAAAAATTTCATTCAATTTATCGTAACCTTTCATACCAACTTTAGCACCGGCTACTTGACAACCGAACGTTACGGCTGTTTGCAATACATTTTGGCTAATAAATTCCGTATGACTACATTCTAAACTTTCGATATTATAATTTTTTGCTACATTTTTTTTAAAAGTACTATTTACTTCGTCTAATTCCGACGTTTTGCTTTTGATAAATTCTAATTTCGCATTATTTAAGAAATGCAACACGGCCGCATTGAAAGTATCGCCAGCACCCAAAGTATCCACGACTTTCGCTGGTGGAAATGCAGGAGATTGTACTATGATGTTGTCCGGAGTTCTTGCCATGGCGCCTCGATCGGCCCAAGCGCAAATAAGAGTTGCCCTAGAAACGGAACGCGATAAATAATAGAAACATTTTATATACCACAATTTAACAGCTTCTTAATAGTATAAATTCGTACCCAGATTTGGCATCTTCGCTTATGTTCTTCAATGTTTCGCTCATATTATCGTATCCTCTACTCTGAGCGAATTCCTTGGATATAAATGCTACGTCGACGTAAGGTAATAAATCCAGTAGTTCCTGCTTTGGATTTTCTAACTCTACGCTAACCGTGATCGGTGTCTGACTTATGTCTGCTTCTTTATTGTTAGAGTCTTGACTATAGTTTAACATATTATTATAGTTTTCCACGCATTGCATCATAGATAAAACCTCGTTTAAATTTCTGCCCTCAAAGTGAATCCAGCTATAATCTTCTAAATGTAACTGTTCAAAATGTTTCAGCGTTAATTCTGGAAGATTTGGATTATAATGAAGAATTGTACGAGAACCAGAAGTTAAACTTAAAATGACGGTAGATGTTGGACATCCGATATCTTCTATCATAGGACAATGAGAGAAATCGATATTGTGTTTCCTCATGTCATTTTGCAAAAAACTTAAATGTTCTTCTGCGCTTAGAGTACCAAAAAATTCACAAGGGCTTCCCAGTTGAGAAAGTACGGTGCAAGTGTTTGACGCGTTGCCTCCTCTTTGCCATCTATATTCCAAAGATCTACACATCAAATAACGAGATCAAGTTATATTAAGACCAAATGAAAGTCTGTAATTTTCTAAATTACTTGTCAAATATATTTTTCTTGAAACAGACGTCTCATCGATCGTTAATAAAATACAGACATTTTTTACGGTTACGATCAAAGATCATTCTATTAAATCGTTGAGTTTGATGGAATAAGTAATTTAATTAATAACTGATCGATGTTTAATATAGTTTCGTTATAATGTCAACAATGTCAATATCAGCTGATCGATGTAAACAATAAAATACGAATCACTGTGACATCGCGCAATCGCGCGTATAGATCTCACCTTTCATCAGAATCTTCCACGGGATATTGCTTGCAGGTTTGTACGATATCCATACAGGTTAATCCGACACAGAGGATTTTTGGCTGGTCCGGCACCATTGTCGAACACGTACCGACAATTCTTTCATAAAAACTTGAAATCATAGCACTTACTGTTCAGAAAGCACGAATCACATTACGTATCACTTCGACAGACGACAGAAGTTTGATCGAAGAATATATGTACAAAGAAATTTTATGTTTCGATAATAAACTCTGTCTTTTCGTTTTGTTCATAAATTCTTCTCTTTATTATCTAGTAGATTATAAGGCTTACATGTCTATCAGTTCAATCTACTTGACCTTTAACGCTTCAAACATATTTATCGATAACTTTTAAACCCCCTCGATAACTTTTCAGCCAAAAATGCTGATTACATAATTTATTCATCATAGAACAACTTAAATATGATCTATATTACTGCGTTTAAACATTGTTATTTCCTAAAAATTGACAGTTTGTTATTACACAGTTTGTTTGTTAAAACATACTGAATATATGTATAGTGTACTGTATACATACATATACAGTACATATAAACGAAAGTCTTAAAGGAATCGCGTATACGTATTATGTAAATTTTTATCCCGATGAGTCTTTTACAGAATGTTTAATAAATTAATTTAGAAAATTTTTTAAGGAGTTAAACTAATACAAGGTACAAACGTGCTTAAAATTAATGAAAAATATATACATTAAAAATCTTTAAATTCCCGCTTTCTATCCATCAAACGAGTGCAGCGCTTACCGCGTAATAAAAAAAATGCCAAGATGGCAACGCAAGCGATTCTGTTAAATGTAGAGGCATCTTTTTACGTTTGCTAATTAATATTTTTAAACACGACACTGGGAAAATTTATCGTATGGAACAATATAGATTTCTAGCTCGATTATTAGATAAATTATTTGGTTTCTTAAATAGGTTAAATCTATGAGAAACAGAGGAGTGTATCATATAGCATATCGACGCCTCGACGCATAATTGTTGGAAAATTTTCTTTTCAGTAATTATTCTTCTCATTTGGTTTTGAATAATTTACCATTAAATACAATGGATCCTCGAATACACAGAAGATCAGAACCAGAAAAGGGACCGGGTGATTTGGTCAGTGTCATAACCTTAAAAATAGTCCATGACCAACATAATTTGATCGTTTATAGTAATTTTTTTAAAATAACAACTTGCAAAAGTTTCTTTAACTTTCTAGTTATGAAAGCACTTATTGCTAGTTGCTGAAGAATACAAAAATGACTTTATTCATTAAACCTCGCAGGTAGTCGAATGGTTGAACGAAGCCTCTTTAAGTTCAGGAGAAGATGTTAAAGTTACAAATTTATCTAAAGTCCAAGAAATATTAGTAAATAAAGAACCACAATTGCTTCCGTTATATTTGGACGAAGCATTGCAATTCTCTTTAGATAGGAATGCAGAAGTTAGGAAAACGGTAACAGGTTTTATAGAAGAAGCTGGGTAAAGATTGTTATTCGAATGTATTATGTAACAGGCTTGCAAACATTCTTTTGGTATACCGAGACAAATATTGTATATCTATTTACAGAGTAAAACAACCAGAAGTAATTCCGCGCGTTGTTCAGATACTCCTGAGATTAGTTTCCGACGAATCATCGGCTGTTGCTAAAAGAGCTCTTAGAGCTAGCGGTAGAATATTGAGAGCTGCATTAAAATGGATAGCTAGCGCTAGTGCTGTTACACCTGAAATGGAAGTGGCATGGAGTCAACTTAGTGCCCTTAAAATTCAGATTATTAATATGATTGATAGCGATAATGATGGGTAAGAAAATTATCTTATCTATTCTGTTCGTGTGCATTATATTCGAGTTAAAGAAGATTCTTTCGCTTTTCAGTATTAGAACGCAAGCTGTAAAATTTCTTGAGGGTGTTGTTTTGATACAAACGTACCCTGACCCAGATTCTCCAAAAAAACCAGACGATTTCTCTTTAGAGGATATTCCATTAACGTTAAAAATAGCTAGAAGAAGAAAATTAGAAGAAGAAGCTAACGATGTAATGGATTTATTAATTAAATTTCATGGATCTCCGCATGTTAGTAGCGTCAATTTAATGACGTGCATGGGATCTCTGGCCCTAATTGCTAAAACAAGACCTCAATTTATGCCAGGTGTAATACAAGGTATATAAAATAGTTAGAAACATGATACATTACTCTGAGAGTATATAACGAAACGATTTTAATTTGCAGCTTTACAAAGGTTGCAACATGATTTACCACCAACGTTATCCGATTCTCAGGTAACCAGTGTACAGAAACAGCTAAAATTAACTTTACTAGGATTAATGAAACATCCTGCTAGCATAGAATTTGCATCTATGATAGCTAAACAGTTAACACAATTAGGTGCAAAAGAGCAGGAAATAATTAAGGCTTATCCGAAACCTGAAGATATTAGACGTATAAAAAAGCGTCAGCAAGTAAATATTTTATAATTAACTTCTGTTAATTGTATTAATGAAATTTTCATTATTAGCAATTTGTATAATTTTTAAGGAAGCCGCGGCTGCTTCTGCCGCAAAACGTGTTAAAATTGAAGCTCCATTAATACCGGATGAATCGGAAATTGTATCCAATACAGTATCCACTCCAAAACTACCGGAATTGATCGAGCTTTCGGAAAGTTTTATCACCGAAAGACTAAGCGTGGAAATTGCTACGGATTTAGTCATGGATAGCATGGTGCCTACTTTTGTTAATAAAACTGATAAACATTAGTATCGCTCCTGACACTCTTTTATAAAGTATATTTTGTTGATAGGCTTGGGTCCCAGACACGATGACAACAATATTTCAAAGAGAATACCAACCTACTTCCACAACTGATATAAATATTCAACGTCAGACGATTGCTAAATTACTAGCGACGCAAATAAAACAAGCTAAAACGAAGAAGAAAAAAGAAGCTAAAGATGAAGATGCCGTAATGGAAGATTTGGTGAAAAATCCAACCATTAGCGTAGCTGAAGCAAAACGGGAACGAAAGCGTGAAAAAGACCGAGAAAAGGAAAAAGAAGCAAAAGCTTCTTTGGAGGCTCATGAGAAATCACTCGCGAAAACAAGAACCCGCTTAAAAGCTTTAAAATTGTCTGAAGTTACAAAACCGTTATCGAAAGAAGTGAAAGAAAAAATGTTATTAATGGCAGTCAATAGAATTCTACTTTCTGAAAAAACAGCTGTATTTGGCGGTGTAGCGGCCGTAAGGTGAACAATTGTTTCATTTTTCAATAGAATACGATGAATCAAGATTAAAGATTAAATTAAATTAAATTAAATGATACCATTTTAGATCAAAGATTTTAACTACTTTGGCTGCAACATTTAATCCGTACATTAAGGAAGCAGTATTACGTTATATTACCGATGATATGAGAAATCGTTTGGATTTAGCCTTAGGTTGGCTATACGAAGAGTACGCGTTACTACAGGGTTTCCAAAGACGAACTACATTATGCACGAAGCCTCAAGAAGCACCACACCAAGCTTATAATTTTCTGCTGTGCACTTTAGTGTCCGCGATAGACTTAGTCCAAGGCAAGGATCGCGATACGTTACTATGCAGGTAATAAATTATTTCCGAAAGCTCCCGATAATGAAATAATATCGATAATACTAATTATTACACATGTGTCAAAAAAGATTATACTTGGAAGCTCCTTTAATTACCGAAGATGCTGTTGAGGCTTTAAAAATGGTTTCTTCCGACGAAACAAGAGGATTAGCACCGTTGCAGTTGTTAAAAGACATGGTTGTTCGTAGACCGACGAAACAATTAGTTTTCTTAAACGTGTTACTATGTCATACCGGTCATGAAAACAATACGGTAAGTTTCAATAGTTTGATGCTTCAAGTATTTTAAATATTCTCTAACATTTGTTTTGGAACAGATAAGAGAAGCTGCAATAGACTTAGTTTGCCAGCTGTATAGTCGTCCTGAATTAAGTAAACTTATAGAAGAGTATGCAGTTCTTTATTTAGGTTTCTTACGACTTCATACTCCACCTGAAATCGTTTTCGGACAAGACAGAGGTAGACCGCAAGTGGAAACTCAATGGACTGAGTCTACTACAAGAGCTTGTCTTGGATTGTATCTTGCTTTATTGAGCGAGCATCAAGATTTAATTCATGAGTGGGTTCACGTTTCGATTAGTGTTTCATAAATAAGTGTTAATTACTGATATCAGCGTTTTCAGGCTGGCGAGAGTTTATACGTCAATGAGCGCGGATGTGAAACGCATGGTTCTTAGACTAGTAGAAGGACCTGTAAGATCTTTAGGAATGGGTAGTCCACAGTTATTAGCATTAGTCGAAAATTGTCCTAAAGGTGCCGAAACATTAGTTACAAGAATTATTCATATTCTTACAGAAAAATGTACGTAAACTTAAAATTCTCTATTTTACATTCATATTTTAGTATTTAATATATACGATACTGTATTTTATATTTAGCCGCACCAAGTGCCGAATTAGTAGCAAGGGTACGAGAGCTTTATCAGACTAGGGTTTCGGATGTTCGGTTTTTAATACCAGTTTTGAACGGTTTGACGAAGAAAGAAGTCATTTCTGCCCTTCCGAAACTTATCAAATTAAATCCTATTGTTGTCAAAGAGGTATTCAACAGGCTATTAGGAACTCATAATAATGACAGTGGTGTACCTCATACATCTCCTATTACACCTGCAGAATTATTAATAGCTTTACATAATATAGATCCAAGTAAAGCGGAATTAAAAACAGTTATAAAAGGTGCGATATATCATTCTTTTCGTAGGTAATGTTACGTATGTCTTTCTATATTCGATTTCTCTTTTAATGCCATCAATTTTCAGCTACGTCTCTGTGCTTCGCGGAAAAACAAGTATATACGCAAGAGACTGTAGCTGTAGTAATGCAACATCTTATGGAAATGACACCACTTCCTACTCTGTTAATGCGAACAGTGATACAAAGTTTAGCATTGTACCCAAGATTAAGTGGATTCGTTATGAATATACTGCAACGGTTAATTCTGAAACAAGTTTGGAAACAGCCAAAAGTCTGGGAGGGTTTCGTGAAGTGCTGTGAACGTACACAACCACAGAGTTTTGCTGTTATTTTGCAGCTTCCACCGGCACAATTAGCAGAAGCGCTGAAGATGGCCAGTAATCTAAGGGCACCCTTATTAGCACACGTTGAAGCTTTTGCTGAAAATCAGGTAATCTCGTTTACATATATTACACTAGAAATTGTATTTCGTATTTTTTTTTTTTTTTTTTTTTTTTTTTTTTTTAATAAAAATTTTAT